CACCCCACTCTCAACAAAGGACAGGTCAACTAAACAGAAATTAAACAAAGAAACAATATCTCTAACAGTGGTCATGAATCAAATGGACCTAACAGACATTTACAGAACCTTATACCCAAACACAAAAGAATTTACCTTCTTCTCAGCACCTCATGGAACCTTCTCCAAAATAGACCACATAGTTGGTCACAAAGCAAGCCTCAACAGATGCAAGAAGATTGAAATAATCCCTTGTATCCTGTCTGATCACTATGGAATAAAGCTGGACCTCAATAACAACAGAAATAGCAAAAAGCCTACACACACATGGAAACTGAACAACTTGCTACTAAATGACAGCTGGGTCAGGGAAGAAATAAAGAAAGAAATTAAAGTCTTCCTAGAACTCAACAAAAATGAAGACACAACATACCCAAACTTGTGGGACACAATGAAGGCAGTGCTAAGAGGAAAGTTCATAGCACTAAGTGCCTTCAAAAAGAAATTCGAGACAGCTCAACTTCAAGCAACTTAATGGCCCACTTAAAAACCCTAGAAAAAGAAGAAGCAGACACACCAAAAAGGAGTAGACGGCTGGAAATAATCAAACTCAGGGCTGAAATCAATCAATTAGAAACAAATAAAACAATTCAAAGAATCAATGAAACCAAGAGCTGGTTCTTTGAGAAGATCAACAAGATCGACAAACCCTTAGCCAAGCTAACTAAAAGGCAGAGAGACACCATCCAAATCAACAAAATCAGAAATGAAAAGGAGGACATAACTACAGACACTGAGGAAATCCAAACAATCATTAGGACTTACTTCAAAAGTGTATATGCAACAAAATTTGAAAATCTAAATGAAATGGACAATTTTCTTGATCGATTCCATTTACCAAAGCTAAATCAGGACCAGGTAAATCAATTAAATAGTCCTATATCCCCCAAGGAAATAGAAGCAGTCATCGAAAGTCTTCCATCCAAAAAAAGCCCAGGACCTGATGGTTTCGGTGCAGAATTCTACCAGACATTCAAAAAAGAGCTAACTCCAACTCTCTTCAAACTATTCCACAAAATAGAAATAGAAGGAACATTACCAAACTCATTCTATGAAGCCACAATCACCTTGGTACCTAAACCTCACAAAGACCCAACAAAAAAGGAGAATTTCAGGCCAATCTCCCTTATGAACATTGACGCAAAAATACTCGCAAACCGAATACAAGAACACATCAAAGATATCATCCACCATGACCAAGTAGGCTTCATCCCAGGTATGCAGGGGTGGTTCAATATATGGAAATCCATCACTGTGATCCACCATATTAACAAACTGAAAGAAAAAAAACCACATGATAATCTCCCTAGATGCTGAAAAAGCATTTGACAAAATCCAACATCCATTCATGTTTAACATATTGGAGAGATCAGGGATACAAGGCACATATCTAAACATAATAAAGGCGATATACAGCAAGCCTATAGCCAACATCAAATTGAACGGAGAGAAACTTAAAGCAATCCCACTGAAATCAGGGACAAGACAAGGCTGCCCACTCTCTCCATATCTCTTCAACATAGTTCTGCAAGTCCTTGCTAGAGCAATAAGACAATTAAAGGAGATAAAAGGGATTCAAATCAGAAAGGAAAAAGTCAAAGTATCACTATTTGCAGATGATCTGATAGTATACATGAGTGACCCCAAAAACTCTACCAGGGAACTCCTACAGCTGATAAACACCTTCAGCAATATGGCTGGACACAAAATTAACTAAAAAAAAAAAAAAAAAAAATCAGTAGCCCTCCTGTATGCAAAAGACAAATGGGCTGAGAAAGAAATTAGGGAAAAAACACCCTTCAAAATAGCCACAAAGGACATAAAGTACCTTGGTGTAACCCTAACCAAGCAATTCAAAGACTTGTATGAAAAAAACTTTAAGTCTCTGAAGAAAGAAAAAGAAGAAGAGATCAGAAGATAGAAAGATCTCACATGCTAATGGCTTGGCAGGGTTAACATAGTAAAAATGGCCATCTTACCAAAAGCAATTTACAGAGTCAATGCAATTCCCATCAAATTACCAACACAATTCTTTACAGACCTTGAAAGAAAAATTCTCAACTTGCTATTCATATGGAATAACAAGAAAACCAGAATCCCTAAAACAATCCTCTACAATAAAAGATCTTCTGGAGGTATCTCCATCCCTGATCTTAAGCTGTACTACAGAGCAACAATAATAAAAACTGCATGGTACTGGCATAGAAACAGACTGGTGGATCAATAGACTCGAATAGAAGATGCAGAAATAAACCCACACACTTATGGAAACCTGATTTTTGACAAAGATGCCAAAATCATACAATGGAAAAAAGAGAGCATCTTCAACAAATGGTGCTGGTCTAACCGGATATCTACACGTAGAAAAATGCAAATAGATCCATATTTATCACCCTGCAAATGGATCGAAGATCTCAACATTAAACCAGACACACTAGATCTGTTAGAAGAAAAAGTTGGGAAGAGCCTTGACCTCGCTGGCAAAGGAGATAACTTATTGAACAGAACATGAACAGCACAGGCTCTAAGATCAACAATCAATAAATGGAGCTCATGAAACTGAAAAGCTCTGTAAAGCAAAGGACACTGTTAACAGAACAAAACAACAGCCTACACACTGGAAAAGGATCTTCACCAACCCCTATATCTGACAGAGGGCTAATATCCAGAATAGATAAAGAACTCAAGAAGTTAAACAGCAACAAATCAAGTAATCCAATTAAAAATGGGGTATGGAGCTAAACAGAGAATTCTCAATAGAGGAATATAGAACAGCAGAGAAGCACGTAAAGAAATGTTCAACGTCCTTAGTCATTCGTGAAATGCAAATCAAAATGACCCTGAGATTTCACCTTACACCCATCAGAATGGCTAAGATAAAAAACTCAAGTGACAACACATGCTGGAGAGGATGTAGAGTAAGGCAAACCCTCCTCCATTGCTGGTCGGAATGTAAACTTGCAAAACCACTTTGGAAATCAATCTGGTGCTTTTCAGACAATTAGGAGTAGTGCTACCTCAAGATCCAGCTATACCACTCCTAGGCATATATCTAAAAGATGCTCAAGTACACAACAAGGACATTTGCTCAACCATGTTCATAGCACCTTTATTCGTAATAGCCAGAAGCTGGAAACAACCCAGATGTTCCACAATTGAGGAATGGATACAGAAATAGTGGTACATTTACACAATGGAATACTACTGAGCAATTAAAAGCAAGAAAAACATGAAATTTGCAAGTAAATGGTGGGAACTAGAAAAGATCATCTTGAGTGAGGTAACTCAGAAGCAGAAAGACACACAGAGTATATACTCCCTTATAAGTGGATATTAGGCATATAATATAAGATAATCATACTAAAATTTGTACATCTCAAGAAGCTAAGCAAGGAGGAGGACCTTGGGGAATATATTAAATTCTCATTCAGCAAGGCAAATGGGATAGATTTCAGAAAAGGGTGAAAACAAGGAACAAGACAGGAGCCTACCACAGAGGGCCTCTGAATACCCACAGGGTATTATTTCAGATGCTGAAACTTATAGCCAATCTTTGGGCAGAGTACAGGGAATCTTATGAAAGAAGGGGGAGATAGAAAGACCTGCTCCACAAGGAGAGCAACAGAACCAAAAAATTGGGCCCCAGGAGTAATTTCTGAGACTGATATTCCAACCAAGTACCATGCATGGATCTAACCCAGAACCCCTGCACAGGTGTAGCTCATAGGAGCTCAGTGTCCAAGTGGGTTTGCTAGTAAGGGGAACAAGGACTGTTTCTGACATGAACTCAGTGGCTGGCTCTTTGATTACCTCCTTGAGGGGGAAGCAGCCTTACCAGGCCACAGAGGAAGACAATTCAGCCAGTCCTAATGAGACCTGATAGGCTAGGGTCAGATCAGATGGAGGGAGAGGAGGACCTTCCCTATCTGGACTGGGGAAGGGGGATGGGAAAAATTGAAGGAAGGAGGGGGCTACAGCTGGGATACAAAGTGAATAAATAATTTTTTTAAAAAATATTAACATGAGATGCTGAGACTTATGGCCAACTGTTAGGCAAAGTGCAGGGAATCTTATGTAAGAAGTGGGAAATAGTAAGGTCTGGAGAAGATCGGAACTCCACAGGGAGAGCAACAGAACCAGAAATTTGAATACAGGGGTCTTCCCAGAGAATCATGCTCCAACCAAGTACCATGCATGGAGATAACCTAGAACCCCTGCACAGATGTAGTCCATGGCAGTTTAGTGTCCAAGTGGGTTCCATAGTAATGGGAAGAGGGACTGCCTCTGACATAATCTGATTGGCTTGCTCTTTGATCACCTCCCCCTGAAGGGGGAGCAGCCTTACCAGGCCACAGAAGATGGCAATGCAGCCACTCCTGATGAGATCTGGTAGACTGGGATCAGAGGGAAGGAGAGGAGGACCTCCCCTAACAGTGGACTTGGGGAGGGGGATGCAGGAAGAGGGGAGGAGGGAGGGGCTTATGGGGGGATACAAAGTGAATAAAGTCTAATTAATAAAAATTAAAAACAATATTAACATGACTTGTCAAGTTTACTTCATTACTAACTTTACCAATAACCATGATATATTTTAAAACATCAGTCAGCCTTCTCAGTAGCGGTCCTGAAAAGTTTTCGATAATAGACTACAGAAAGGTAAGAGCCATGGTTTCGTCACCTCTAAATCCTCCATGCCCAACTCAACACCGATACATGAATGCTTGTTAGATAAAAAAAAAAAAAAAAAAAAAAAAAAAAAAAAATAGAGAAGGGTGATTATTTTCCAGCCATTTCCAAAATCACCTTCAATTTGAAACTATCAAAGAACTTGGGCTGAATATTCAAATTTTTTTTTTCTGATGGATGAGGTACATCCAGGGTTTTATGCAAATTGGTCTCTTCTAGGTGCATCATCCTAAGGCCCATTCCACAGGAACAAATGCCCCATGTGTACTACTCACCTGCCATGTCGATGGCAAAAGGCCTGTCTTCTCTCCACCCAGTGTACCAGCCAACAACTTTGCCATTTTTCACCAATGGACGTTCGTAGCGTCGCCCGCCAACTAGGCCAACGGGCCAGACAGAAACCTTGCGGGTGGTCCGCATCTACAGAAGGGGGAAGAGACGCAAACTGTTAATATGTAGAGATCCATGTGGAAGGTCTGAAGTTACTACAGATTCAAAAATTTAAGGTTTCCCAACAGAATCTTCTACCCGAGTTCACTGTCATTTTGCTTTCCTAGTATTACTGGCTTTGGGCTCAGTGTTCATACAGATGGTCCAAGGCTTATGAAAAATAAGGATAAGCCCCTTATAGGAATAAGGGACCAAAGTGCATGCCTTTAGTCCCAGCACTTGGGAGGCAGAGGCAGGTCTACATACTGAGTTCTAGCCCAGCCCGAGCTACATAGACCCTGTCTTGGAAAAACAAAACAAAAACAACAAAAAACCGGAAAACAAGAGAGAAAAAGGGAGAGAAGAAAAGACAGAAGGAGGGAGAGAGAGACAGAGACACAGAGAGAAAAATTATGCATTAATGCCCAAATAACACTTCTTTGAATTACCAACCTGTAATTATCAAATGCTTCTCATTTGTCTCAAAAGAGGATCTAGTTAAGAAATAACTCCCTTTTTTCTAAAGTCACTCATTTATTCCCCCAGGAAACTTCATGATTCAGTCAGTGGTATCATTCAGAAGACTCTCCCCAAACTTTCATTTCTGTAGACATAGACCTTGGCTGGGAGGCAGAGGCAGGCAGATTTTTTTAGTTCAAGGCAAGCCTGTTTTAAGTAAAGAGTGCCAGGCCAACCAGGGCAACATAGTGAGACTTGTCTAGATAAAATAAAAAAGATTACAGAGCAAAGAAACAATGTTAAAATTTTCAAGAGAAAAATGACAGCTCACCTCAAAGGCAAATTCCTCTTACCTCTAGGTAGAAACTCTAACTGCTACAGAAGCATGCAATGAGATACTTCAAACCTTGAAAGCAAACAGCCCTGACAACTAAGGTTATTATACCCAGCAAGTTGCCTTTTAAAAGTGATGAGGAAAGAAAGACCAAAGATAAGCACAAAAACAAACAAAACACTAAGGCGGTAACACACTGCAGAATAAACTTAAAGAAATTATACACAGAGAGGAGGAAGACACTAACAAACACTCAAGATAGAAGAATAAATTTCATGAGAACAAGAAAGGAACAAATGAAAACCTGGGAGAAATTAATCATCATTTCAGCAGATCAGAAAAACTTTGTGATGGGTAAGGGAAAGTGAAAGAACTGTTTTTGCACCAATTTAAAAGACATTATTACAAGAATCAGTAAGTCCTGCCCAAAAGCAGCCTAAGGTAAATGCATTTAACTTTTCCCCTTGAAAGATGAAGATTAACTGGTTGGGAACAGACAGACAACACCAAAACCAAGAAATGTGTCATAGATAATGATGAAGTGAGGAGAGCGCAAGGTTGGAAAATTGTTTTCCAAGGAAAGGGAAACTAAAGACAAGCTGGAAGGTGAGAACTAAACAAAGCAGACCGGAAGGAAAAATTTGTCAGAGGAGATAAAGAAGGAATAATCCATAAAAGATGCAACAGTTACAAATGTATGTTCCAACCACTGGCATCTAATTCTGCAACACAAGCGCTATCACACACAAAGGCTGGACGAGTCCAGATGTGACAATAATCAGGGATTCAATAACTGTCACCAGATAGATCATTCAGAAAGCAACTGACTTTGGAGTTCATTGTGCCGTAGATCAGATGGACCTTGGAGACATCTACCAAATACTCTGTCAGAGGGCACGCTACCTTCCATGGGACTTGCCCTAAACAGAACCCAGTTTAGGCTATAGCATGATCTCAGTTACTTTATCACTTCTGTGATAAAATATCCTGACAAACGTGACTGAAGAGAGAAAAGGGTTTACTTTTATTTTGGCTTACAGATCCAGAGAGTTACAGTCCATCATCGCCCTAAAAGTAGATGACACCAGGCAGGGAAGGCATGGAGGATGGTCAGCCATGTGTGTCCACACTTGGGAAGCAGAGGTGAGCAGGAAGTAAGGCTAGGTGTCTTCAAACCTCATGGTAGTTCCCAGTAACTCACAGCAAGAAGGCTCTGCCTCCTAAAGGTTCTAAAAATTTCTCAAACAGTGCTGTCAGCTAGGGACACCAAAGTGTTCTGGCACATGAGTCTATGTGAGACATTTCACAGTCAAACCATAAAAGTCAGTCTTAACAAATGCACAAAAATTAAACTGATTTCTTTCATATTATTAGATAACAATGGACCAAAACTAGAAATAAATAGCAAGAAATGCTATAACAATACATGGAGGTCAAACAATATACTCCTGAATGATCTGTGGATTGTTGAGAAATCAGGGAGGCAATGAAAGCTTCTTAGAACGAAAATACAAACAATTACAATCTTTGGGATAAAGCAGAGAAAGAGAAAGAGAAAGCTTTCAAAAGAGAAAGCTTACAACTATAAATGTTTACATAATAAACTGCGACAACACAGACAGATAATGTAATGCTTCACCTCATCACTGTAGAAAGGCAAGAATGAGCCAAACACCAAGTGAGTAAATGGAAAAATATTATATTAGGGTAGAAACTAATGAAATGGAGACTAAAAGGACAAAATGATCAATGAAAGAGCTCTCTGAAAATATAAATAAAATTGTCAAACATCAGCCAAGGGAAGACCCAAATGATTACTAGATTTTGAAAAGAAACATAAGAATAGACACCAGTGAGATTCAGAGTATCATTAGGGAATACTTTAAAAACATATTCCAAAAAAAAAAAAAAGGAAAAACTAAAAGGAACAGATAAATTAATAGCCCTACATGATCTGATCTATAGAAACTTAAAAATCAATAAGATGTAAACAACTGTGTAATGAACAACTAGATTGAAACAGTGTCTCCCAAGAAAGTAAAGTCACTGTTGGAGCAATTCATTACCCATTCTCCAGACCTTGGATAAATTTCAACATATCTTCATGATAAAATTTTAGAAGACATATTAATAGAAGAATACCTTAATAAATGAAAAACTTATAGCAATAATATACAATACTATACTAAAAGCTCCAAGTATTTCCCTAAAATAAAAAAAAACCAAGATGAAGATATCTACTTTTCCCCTTTTAACCAATAAATATTGATACTTTAACTTCTAGAACACTAGGGCAAGGGAACGAAGTGAAGGCAGACACATAGGAAAAGAAAGAATCAGTATTTCTATTTGTAGAAAGCATGATCATATGCTTAAGAGATGTTAAACACCATACCAAAAAAAAAAAAACCCAAAAAAACAAAACAAAACAAAACAAAAAAAACCCTCTCCTTTTAAGAGATCTAATACTTTTAGCCAAGTGTCAAGACTCAAAATTGTTTTAGTTAGGGTTACTATTGCTGTTTTGAAACACCATGACCAAAGCAACTTAGGGAGAAAAGGGTTTATTCAGCTCACACTTCCATACCACTGCTCATCATCAAAGGAAGTCAGGACAGCAACTCAGAAAGGGCAGGAAGCTGAGGCAGGAACCGATACACCATGGAGAGGTGCTGGTGCTGGCTCTCTTCCCATGGCCAGCAGCAGCATATCTCACGGAGTATCAATGCTCAGCCTGCTTTCTTATAGAACCCAGGACCACCAGCCCAGGGATGGCATCACCCACAATAGGCTGGGCCCTCCCCCACTAATCACTAGTTGAGAAAATGCCTTACAGCTGGATCAAAGGGAGGCATTTCCTCAACTGAGGTTATTTTCTCTCTGATGACTCTACCTTGTGCCAAAATGACCCACAAAACCAGCCAGTACAGGGACCTACCTAAGACACAGGAACCTACCTAACACTCAGGGGCCTACATAACACAGGGAAGTACCTAACAAAGGAACTGCCTAAACTACCCAACACAGAAGTCTTATAACACAGGGGCCAACCAAATACAGCACTTACCTAACCCACAGGGCCATACCTAACACAGGAACTGTCTTAGTTAGGGTTTCTGTTGCTTCAACAAAACACCATGAACAAAAAACAAGGTGGGGAGAAAAGGGTTTATTTGGCTTACTCTTCCGTATTGCTGTTCATCATTGAAGGAAGAAGTCAGGATGGGAACTCAAGCAGGGCTGGAGTCTGGATGTAGGAGCTGAGGCAGAGGCCACGGAGGAACACTTGGTTCTGGGGGCTTGCTCAGCCTGCTTTCTTATAGAACCCAGAACCACCAGCCCTGGGATGGCACCACCCACAGTAGGCTGGGCCCTACTGATCACTAATTGAGAAAATGCCTTACATCTGGATCTCATGGAAGCATTTTCTCAGCTGAGGCTATTTTCTCTGTGATGTCTCTAGCTTGTATTAAGTTGACACATGAAACCAGCCAGTTCAGGAAGCTACCGAACACTAGGTCCTATGCTTCAGGAGGGGGTATTAACTGGCTTGCTCCCCTAGGCTTGCTGTCTTGAAGAACCCAAGATTCTCAGCCCTAGGATGGCCCACCCACAATGGGCTGACCCTGCCCTACTCATCGCTAATTAAGAAATGCTCTACAGGCTTGCATAAGGCCCAACCGGGCGGGTCTTCTGGAGGCATTCTCTTATTTGAGAATCCTTCTTCTCAGATGACATTAGCTTGAGTCAAGTTGACATAAAACTATTCAGCACAGAAATCAACATATGAAAGCCAGCAGCTTTTTTATACAGTAATAATGAACTTGCTGAGAAAGAAATCAGAATACAAGCACATTCACAATAGCCTAAAAAAAAAAAAAATCTAGGTGGTGAAACCTCTATAACAAAAACTTTAAGATTCTGAAGGAAGAAATTGGAGAAAACTGTAGAAGGGAGAAAGACTTTTAAGGCCCGAGGACCAAGAGAGTCAGAATTATGAAAATGGCTGTACTAATGGAAAGCAATCTACATACTCAACAGAATTTCTATCAAAATGTTGGCATTATTCATAGGAATAAAGGGGAAAATACTTAAAATTTATGTGGAAGCGCCGAAGACTCTGAATAGTGAAAATAATCCTAAGCAGGAGAAAAAATGTGGCTGGTATTGTAAAACCAGACCTCAAATTATAATACAG